GGGAAAAAAAATTCTTTCACGCGCTCGTCGGGAAGAAGCGGCACTGCGGGTAAGAAATCTGTAAGAAATTCATGATCGGGATCCCGTTACCCCGTGAACGGGAATCTTTAAGGCAGTTACAGTTTAAGGTTCCTCTTCTTCGGGATCGACTGACAGATTTATTTACACGATATACTAATCCTCCGTCGACCGACCCTCGATCGCAACTCTGGTATACAATCCAGCTGTTAAGGTTTCGATTCGACATGAAGTTCTCTAACGAAGAGAACTAGCGCACTCTCTCTCTCTTTCACTCACTCATTCCCTCTCGTTCGCTTCGCAATCGTCACGAATCCGGACTGCGAGATCATCCGAGGCAACTAGGGTTGCCACCTTTCAAATTAGCAAAATATGGACACATGGTCAGGGGACATATGGAAATACGGACAAATACATGAAATATGCTCGCGACTGTGACTCTGCTTCGAATATCTACAGCCACCTTTCCCCAAAGTGCCAATAGATGCTACAAGAGTGTGGCATACTACTCTGGCTCGAAGAAAAGAGTGCTTTTGGCTGCTATTTAGTTTTATGGTAGGTAGGTCGGTAAGTAGGTTTATTTGCCTAGGTTCGGCTCGCCATGGCCGAGATAATTCAAGGGAAAAGTAAAAACCGTCATCACTCGAGTCGTCACAGCGAAAGAAAGCGAGATCCTCTCGGGCATCTCAGGAGGAACCTATTTCTAAATGAGGCAATTCGGACTCTCGGGAAAACGAGTCTCTCTCTTGTTTCGGGTCCAGTAAGACGGTCTCATTTCAAGGTTTCCCGAGTTTTATTAACTAAAAAAAAAACTTTTAGAAGGTTAAAAAAAAAGTTTTAAGTATCGATGAAGTAATGTCCATATTAAGATAAGTTTGCAGTATGGACATCGCATCTGAAATACGAACTGTCCAATTATGAACCCTAGAGGCAACCGCGAGCGATTCGCGACGACCCGCGGCCGCGCTCGGTCTCCGCGACGACCCCTCGTCGTTCACCCTTCAAAAAACGAAGACCGAAAAGTCACAGACCTCCTCGTAGGCGACGTGGATGGGCGTGACGTCCGTGTCCGTGAGGTTTATCGAGATCTGCGCGAGATTCTCCTCCTCCAGCCACCACCCGATCGCCTGGCAGCTCTTCAGCCTCCCCGGCTGCTCCTTACCCCGCCCTCCCTCCCTCAGGTTCAACGCGATCCTGCAGAAGAACGAACGCGTGACGTCACCGACCTCCCCTTCGCACCCCCTCCCCCCTCCCCCGCATCCTCACCGATGCGCCTGCTCCTTCGTCGCGAGCACGTTGATGTTGTAGGCGATAAGGAACTTCCGACAGCCCGTCACCGTGGCGCCCCAGCGCGGCACCAGCGAGGCCGGCCCGTAGTCGGGCGCCCACTCCGGCTTCTTCAGCTGGGAGCAGAGAGTCGGAGGCGTGAGGTCGATTCGTGGTCGGGGGTGCAATATCGCGATCCGGATTTCGTGCAACGATTTTTTCGTTTTGAATTTTGGATGTAAAGTTGTCTTTCCAAAGTTCTTGCGGAGTGGTAAGACGAATAACATTCGAATACTCTTTCGTTATTTCAAATCATTACATCATTCATAATTATACATTATTGTAGTTATTATGTAATTATGCAATGTTGTTAGATGCGGAAGCAGGCACCTCACACGTTGTCCCTTTATAGGAAAAATGAACTAATTCCCCCTCTTCTTCCACTCGTCGAATCAGTGACTCAGGAATAAAGGCCCCACTTCAGGACGACTCGCTATTCTAACAAGCTTCTCCATGTGTCTAACTCGTAAAGGGAGCGGCAGGGATGAAGGATGGTCAAGGCTGACAGGTCTGCAGCGATTAGATCTATGCGCTCGATATCAACGATACATGAATGGGTTTAAGAAGCTGAAAAAAAATTCAGCGGCATGTCAAACGCAGAAGGAGCCATTTTAAAGAGGAAATTCTATATAAATATATAATAAGTACTGTTTGAATTTAGAGCGAGCACCAATATCGATTAAGTCGGACCAAATTTCTTCGCGTTTTTAACGGAATGGAAGGAAAAGAAGATCGGGAGAGACAGAACTTACCTTCTCGCCGAGTCCTTCGTACTCGCCGGCGCGGATCTGCGGCATGGTCTTCCGGTAGTCCCGATCGGAAGCGAATCCGTAGAGGAAGACGGGGACGCCGAGGTCCTCCGCCAGGCGACGGCCGAACTCGCGGGAGCAGGCCACGCAGTCCGCCACGGTGGCGTCTCGGACGGGAGATCGTCTATATATACGAGATTAGAAGGTCGTAGGGAGACGTTTACGTGAGGAACACAGAAGAGGCCGGTCACTATAGCTCAGTTTTACTTGCCCAGCGGATCCCCAGACAGAGGAAGAAACCCCCTGTGGGTTTGAGGATCGATGAGGATCATTCCTCTTCCTGTTATGATCGTTGCCAGCCGGAAGGGAAACGGGAAAAATCGTTTTGCTATGCTCCGCAAGTATCAAGTTGTGACCGAGCACGAAGGACTCTAAAGAGCCTATGAATCGAGATTATTCACCTTTTTTCAATCTCACCGTTTTACAGGTCAGGTGTCTGATGGTGAAAAGGTGGACTGGAGGGACACGTGGTAATACAAATTAACAAATAAAAAGCATATTTGCCTAGGTCGAATAATCGTGCTCAATGGTCAATAACTGGAGGGAGAAGTTTATTTCCGAACTGTACTGAAGGAGATGCAAGGACGAAGACGAACGATGTTTCCTTCGGGAAGACCTCTCAGACCTCTTCGAGGCAGTGAAAGGGGGTCCACAATTTTCCACGAGTCACATCCTTCTTCATTCTGATTTTTTTCTGGGAGTTTTAGGACGTGCGTTTCTTCGCTCGTACGAGATGTCCTTTTATGGGTGGGGGGAGGCCTTCACCTTCGGTGAGAAACCACTTTCCTGGGCTCGTATCGGGGGTTTTACGACCCTCGCTGATGGCGGCTGCTCTCGGCCCGTCTCGTGTCCTCGAAACGGGCTCAGAAAAAAATCAGAATGAAGAAGGATGTGACTCGTGGAAAATGCGAACTGCGGGGTGCAGGCGGCGTCGATACGCTTCGAGAATGCGGGGCTTCCGTGTCGGTCGACACGTGGCGATGAATGGGAACGTCCAAGTTAATTAATCGTTGCATAAACGAATGCAGGAATGGAACGAACGGACGGATGGGTGAGACGACTGCACGAATGGAAAGGAGTCAACGGTTGGAACTGCACCAAAATAGTGTAAATAAAAAAATTTACAATGGGAAATATTCCTGTCACCTACTCGGCCTTGACGAAGACACCTTCTGCATACTTCATGCACGACCTTGAATGACGTAGCTGCTGGTTGTACCCAACAACAGGGTCATTCGGAATTCATGGTCGATCAGATCGTGGCGCCAGGAGGAAGAACATACACGAGGGAGAAGAAACAGAAACCGGTGCTTCATTTGAGCTGAGCAGCTCCTGTTCCCTCATGTCTTACATGTTATTTTACTCTTCGTGGTTTCAAAATATGACGGAAAGACTGGCAGTTTTTTTGTGCGTTCGAAACCGAGATTTTCTTCAAACATGATTCACGAAAGAAATTTGAGTAGTTTCAGACTCTTATTTATTACATTTAATTATGTACGGTTGGCCTAAAATAAGACCCAGAGCTTAATTTCTTAGACAGAGAGAAGCAATTGACCAGAACTATGGAGTACCCGAGTTTCATTTACACGCACCAGAGTCACCGTTACGAAAAATGTGCAGGAGGGGAGAAAATGACATAATCCCGCTGAAGGGAACCCCATGTTAAACGGGAAGTCGCACAGTCGAGAAAGTGACTCCCCGCAACGCGAAGGAATGGTGCACGCTAATGCTCGGTCCTGTGCGACTTCCTGTCTTTAACATGGGATCGTGCGGTTTTTTGCAGGTTTTTGTTTTCTCCTTTCCTGCTCACAGCTTGTTTGCAATGTTCAATCTGGTGTTTGTAAATGAAATTCGAGCACCCTTCGGTTCGTCTGGCGTCTTGTTTATGCATGTTGTTCCATCGTGTCTTCGTCACGTCGCGATCGACCCGAGGGTGAATACGGGAAGACAGTCCAGGGGATACCCGACCACGAGAGCCATCTGTTAGCGCCTGGTAAAACAAATTGGTTTCGTCTAAAAGACGCAGATGACGAAACGAACCTGAAGTTTCGGATTCCTCCGCGAGATGTCTCGAGTGTGAGTGTGGTCCTGCGTGAACATACTCGAGGCGAGACGGTGCTTTAGCTTTGAAGAACTTGAGCAGTGTTGAAGCAGTGTTGAGAGGGGGAAAGAGAATCGCCCTTTCAGTGTACGATCCGACGCTGGGTGGCACCTGGGGATAGTCATAAGGCAGTTGAAATTCTCAGAGTAGTTTGGCACAGCTATGCATTGCGCATGCGCATTCGAAAAAGGCATTTTACAAAACCAGGCGTCTTAGCCTTGACTAGCCATTCCCTACGGAAGATTTGACTGGAAGGTTCTCTCTGTTTCTCCACGGCACTAGTCGCGCTGTATCGGTTTTCTTTCAACGAAACGAATGCATTCTCGCTCTGACTAGGTTCTTTCTAGCGACTGTGCATCGCCGCGATTCATTTTAATATCCATGGAGCCTTCTGACATAACAGCATTGTGGTTCGAAGGAGAAGAACGCGGAGAAGTAATGGCTTTTTTTGCGTCGTGATACATGGTGAAAATCGGAAGAAGGGAGTTGCTTTTAATCAATGTCCGTCGTATTCCACTTTGAATGTCCATCGATTCTGTACTATAGGTAGACAACGAGAAGTTTTCTGAGGGCCTCATTTGCCCCCAGCTGGTCCCAATGCCACTTTCTTATCAATTTAAGTACTTATCGTCATATCCGTCATATTGTCATATCCGTCATATCCGTTTCGCTACTTTAAGCTATTAATCTCCCTAAACTTGTACGAAACTATGGTTTCTCTAATTGCCAGACTCCCGCGAAAAAAAATACGAGTTACATGTGGAAATGTGGATGGCGTTGCAATAGTTTTATTTCTGCCTGTTGCAATGGGGGAAAATCCAGCCGCGCGAACTCGCAAATCGCGCTCCGAGACTCGCTTCTCTCACCCCTGCATATGGACATTCTCTCCTCTCACACACTCCACGTACCTTGGCGGAACGGATAGCGGCGGCTCTTCTCTCGTGTGCTCTCTCTAAGAATGAATCATTCTTCGTGAGAAACCATGATTGGAATGTAGAGAGGAATCTCCGAGTATATATATATCGACTGCCGGTGTTGAGTGTTGGAAGTGGGGGTCCAACGTCGGTCCTTTCGTTTCTTGGATAGCATCGATCACGCCTTTGACGCCAAAAANTATATATCGACTGCCGGTGTTGAGTGTTGGAAGTGGGGGTCCAACGTCGGTCCTTTCGTTTCTTGGATAGCATCCATCACGCCTTTGACGCCAAAAACAGTCAGAATGAAGGCGTGGAAATCGACTTTGGAGGGATCAGGCCTCCGCTTTTCGACTTTGAGGCACGAAAGACTCGTTCCCCTTTGGGCCGTTCTGTTTCTCGTTTCTTCGAACCTTTTCCTTCTATCGTCTGCTTCGACGGTGAGTCGCAGTTTTACGATATTAAGGGCATGCCGGTGAACTATTAAAAAAAGATACGTGATCCAATTTGCATATATTTTAAATCTTTCAATGGTCCTTGTGAAATATTTTGCACAAAAATCCCCAGCCAATCGAACAAAAAATTTTCATTTAAGTATTAAGCTGTTTTTATCTAAAATAGAGAAGTAATTGTCCCTACTGACATCGACGTTAATCGAACCAATCGAACAAAAAAAGAGCTTATTTGCCCAGGTCGAATAATCGTGCTCAATAGTCAATAACTGGAGGGAGAAGTTTATTTCCGAACTGTACTGAAGGAGATGCAAGGACGAAGACGAACGATGTTTCCTTCGGGAAGACCTCTCAGACCTCTTCGAGGCAGTGAAAGCAGGTCCACCACAATGATTTCTTCATCATTAACCCTTATCGTGCCGATTTGTTTGTAACAAAATATTTATTAGGGGGACAGATGCTATCTCTTTGCACGACAAGGGTTAACCTCTCCCCCCCTATCTCCTCCATTAACTTCCATAGGCCATGCTCTTCCCTTCCCCCTTCATTTGTTTTCTCCTTTCTCAGGAATCCATGCTCCGGCCATTAATTTCAGGTTTAGCCGACGTCTGACCAGACAAAATTTGCACTTTCGAACTGGTGAAACGCAATCCGAATGAATGAATCGCGGTCTTCGTGGTCGGATGCGATCTGCGCGTCATCCGCCAGGAAGGGCTCCCATAAGGCCGAATAGACTCATCAAAACCTCGCTTGCTTGTTCTGCCGTGTTCCCTCATCCATTCGTCATTCGCGTTATTCAAGTTCACGGAGGGACGTTATCTGTCCATTTTGGGGAGATAAGGGATGTCGGGGAAGGTATACTTAATGGGGGAAGAGAGGAACATTCTTCTCTCTCTGAACTACATTCTCATTCACGCGCTTTTGTGCTCCTTCCGCACCCGCTTTTCCACATCATCATCGTATCCGCAGTTTGACTAATTCGTTCGAGCTCTCTCGCATTCTACATTTACTCCAGATATAAGAATTAAGGCTGTAGGTTGAGAAAATTTTTAATTTTTGTCAATCCATAATCGTGACTAATATTCAATTGAACCCATGATGATGAAAGCAAAAACCTTTCTTGGATTGGAAATAAAGGATAGAGGCAGCAAAACATAGGCATTATTATATCCGCTATTATTATCTAGATTATGTACGTCATGAGGCTGAAGAAATCGAAGTTCCCACCAAACGGCATCACAACTTGTCATGGAGTGCGTGGAGTGTGCATGCGTGCAGTTGTATCTGGTTGCTACTCGCTGATTCTTTGACGTTGCGTGGTATTTGTGTTCCTCCGCCACCAGCCCAGTTCCGGCCAGTTTAGATTATTTCTGGTCTATAGACCAGAAATAGGAGCGTACCGAGGACCGAACCCTGGGGCATTCCCCTCGCGACCTCTGCTTTCTGCGACGCTTCCCCATTTTCAACTAGCCTCTGCACACTTCCTGAAAGGCAATTAATTACCTATTCATTTGCTCACTCCACTCTGAATCCCGTGCGCTTCCAATTTAGTCAGTAATCTCTTACGCGAAACGCTGTCAAAAGCCTTCTCGAAGTTTAAGTAGACGATATCGACAAGATCCCCTTTATCCCTTCTTTCCGTCACCCAATAGCAAAACTCAGGCACGTTGCATATGGCAATTACGCTCCCTTTAAAGCGTGGGAATCTCGAATGAGATTGTTCCCCTCGAGAAATTCGAAGATGCGATCACTTGTCATGCCCTCCCAGATCTCCCGCTGAATGCAGGTGAGACTAACAGGCCTATTGTTTCCCGATTTGCTCCTGTTCCCCGTCTTAAGGCGGCGCAGTACCCTCCCTGAAAAAAGAGCTAGAGCCTCGGCGTTTCATAGATGTCGGAGAGTGTCTCCCCGCCCCTCAGACTCGTCGGCTCTCGGACCAAGGGCGAGGACGACGGAGTGGAGCGTTAGGTAAAGGCCCATCCCCTCCCGCCTTCCCCTTCCAATTCAGGTCCCCGCCTCAAGAAGGACCATACCCTTGTAGATATCGCTTGCCTGAGAACAGTGGTAGCGTTCTAAATCTATTCAGAATTCAGACTCAATAAATCTAATTAAATGTATTTTAATCCTACATATTGGATGGAACCTAGGCATTGCGACCAAGTCGTTTTCTTCTTTTCGTTGACGTTGACATAGGCCAGGCGGCTGATTGCTACCAATTAGCATCAATTTATAATTTTCCTTCCTGAATCAGATAATGAACCCCCTTAATTTTATCACCTAAACCACTATGAAGAAAAGATCTTCCAGCTTCTTTCCTTTCTTGTACAAACCACTAGTTCATTTCACTGGTACTTTATCTTTTCTCTCCCTTCACTTTTCTTTATCCCTTGAGAGGTGGACCTCGTAAATTAATTGATGAATTAGAATCTCCAACTTCATCCTGCGAGGTCAGACGATGCAGTACAATACGGAAGGAGATATGCAAAAAATTCCACACTGAGAGGGTAGTATGAAAGGTAGGCCCCGAGGGCGATGATGTCATCACCCCACTTGAAGCTTCATTTTCTTCTCCCTTCTTGCCCTGGCCTCACCATAGCCTGCGGCTCTGTCTCTTTCGCCCGTCATCCTCTTTTTCCCATTGCAGGAAATTACAGTATACCATTGTAACATCTCCTACCATTGAATTCTTTCCCACTGTGGCACTTGCTCTTCATGCTTATCCTAGATTCGTTCCTCTCGTGATTTATTCATTCCCAATTTGTCTACTAAAACAAAATCCTTCCATCCTTCAAAATCCTTCAATTCAAGTCATTTTTTATTTGTTTAGAAAAAAAATTTTAAGAGTAAAAATTCGATATTACTCTTTCTCCCGGAAATAGTCCTACGTATTACCCGTTCGAATCTCCTACCCCTCCCCCCCAATCCAATCCAGCCGATGATAATTATTTTATTGTATTTATGT